TCAGTTTTGCAGCAGCTGAACTGACAATCATTTCTTATTTCTTAATTGGTTACACATATTGTTATCCAAAACGTCCATCATAACCTGTTTGGTTATAGTCCTCAATCAGTCCGGAAGTTTTTTAATTTGCATTATGTTGTGGCTCTTCTTGGATAGCGAACATGTTACTAACAGTTTGCTGCAGTAGCATCCTGTTCTATTTCTCTGTTGCATCCTAACTTGCCACTGGTTGCTCAATTAGCCTCTGGAAAGTGCATGATAGACTTACATAATCAGCACCCATGTCTTCTCATTATAGGTCATTGATTCCTCCTATCTCTACACCCTTAGCCTGAAATTTCCAGCCACCGAGTTCTATCACACATGCACCCTGACAAACTCCTTCCCGGATTAATCTTACATAATCAGCATCCTTGTCTTCTCATTCTAGGTCATTGTCTCCTCCTATCGCTACACCCCTAGCCTGAAATTTCCAGCGACCGAGTTTTATCGCACATGCACCCTGACAAACTCCTTCCCAGATAAATGCCTTTCCTACTCTTCATGTTTGTCCTTACATGCAGAGACAGTAAATCTGCACCTCAAGCAACCCCCTTATTTATTTCATTTGTCTTCAAATTCAGCTTCTCTCCTTCATCCTTGCGAGGTGCACTATTTGTCGGACCTCGCTCCATTCAGAAGACTGAATAGTCATGAATTCATGATCTTATGTTTTTGAGCTAATTCAAGCTTAAAGGTAAAAGAACAAAAACGTAAAGAGAGAAGGATCAGTTCTTGCCTTTACATCTGTATTTGTATATCAAAAGAGTGGTATAGAGCATCTTCTATCAGCTTATACATAGTAATCTTCTTTGCTGTGTGGGTGGCGCCGTGGGGGTGCCAATGGGGTTTATGCGAATAATTAGACACTGGCTTTGGAGTTAAAGATCATTGAGCTTTCAAGTCAGCTTCTTATTTGTACCTAGAATTTTTTCTGAGTATGGAAAATTATAAGTTGACTCTTGAGAGATATTAAAGTGTAGGCAGAATGAAGCTGATAAAAGGCATAGTGAATTTTGAAAGAAATTTTACTGTGAAGAAATGGACTTTGGTACTCAACCCCGAAAGCTAGGTCAAAAGGTGAAGATTGTCCAAGACCATATAAGGAGACCATAACTTGTATCCTCCACCAATGTGGGACAGTTAACACCTCCCCTCACACAAAAAACTGGACATATGGAGTGTGGACAACATAACATGGTGGGTAAACCAAGAATAGGAATGAGTTTGGCTCTGATACCATGTGAAGAAATGGACCTTGGGCCTAAATCCCAAAAGCTAGCTCAAGAGGTGAGGATTGCCTAAGACTGTACAAGGAGACAACAACACATTTCCTCCACCAATGTGGACTCTTAACATTTATTGATCTTCTTTGTTGCTTCTCAATTATTATTGATTCTTCTTCTATCTCTAATTTGAAACTCGGTTTATGCTAAGATATTATCAGTTAAATCAATGAATGGCTACAGCATATATTTTCCTTTTTTCCTTGTCCCCTCTTAATTTTCTTTATTACTGGTGGTATCAGGTGGTCGGGATGACGCAAAGATATTGGTCCCAGCTACTGTTTTGCTTCGCTACATGTTCACACCAGCTGAATTGCGGGTAATGTTTCTATGTGGATACTCATTTTCTGTAACCTTTCAATTTCGGTCTGACTGGAACAGTAAATTGTACTCAAAGTGTTAACAGATGAATTGCAGTTGCCAAATTGCCATACCTTTGTAAACTGTTGGCATATCAATGCTGATACTGGTAAACATAACATAGTAATAAGCAGTTGCAGCATATATTAATCACTATGAAGTGGAGGCATTTACTCTGAAGTTCCAGTTATTTTGTTCAGGAAGCTGTCTTGCTACTGTTTTTACCAACATGTAGTTTACTCTAGTTTTGCTACTAGTTGAATCCTTGAGTGTGAGATTTACCTATTAGTTATTGTTTCTGAGCCGCCGTTCAGCTAATGCACTTGAAATCTTGTCAATAGGAGGATGAGAATTTATGCTCCGAACTACAGCAGGACGTCCAAGAAGAGTGTTCAAAGTTTGGCCCAGTGGACTTAGTAAAGGTATTGCCTGTTCTGCGGTTTCTGGATTTTATAATATTGCTTATTTATGTTGTGATATATAAGCTATATGCTCTACTAGGAGATGAGTTATTGATGTGAGTTTGTCGACCAATATAGGGTGATATGTGCGCCTTCTGAGTTTGTTGAATTTCTAAATTATGTGGTTCTGTGCGAAGCTGTTTTGCTCTTTTCACCTGTCGGTAAAGTAGGAATTCTGGGCCTTCAAGATTATAAGTACCTTTTATAATCTTAGAACAACAATTTGCAGTAAAGATCAGAGTCGAAATGCTCATCTGTTCCATAAATTTGCCAGGATTGGTTGCTTGCTTCTTGTTGCACTTCTACATTTGTGCAGTTGATTGAAGGTGGGCCTTGATGCTTCCTTGCATCTAGTACCCTCTACATAAGCAACTACTATGCTTCGAAGGAATAGTTACAGTGCATTGCCTGCTTGTTAAATGTTAAATTGGAATCTTTGTCAATGGATATATGCGTTTTAAATCCAGCCTAAGCTTCAGTTCTCCGAATAGCACATAAATAAGCACAACTGATTATTCTAAGCAGCTATTCAACGTAGAAATTGTCTCGTTGTGCATCTGTTCTTTTTCTGCTGATGTCTGGGACTTCTTCTATGGTCGTATTGCGCTATTTATACTGGAGATTTTTTGAGCGGTTACTCCTGCTTCGACACTCCCATTTCGAGTGGGTACAAATTGTGGTTGTTTATTTCCGCATGTAGTTCTTTTTACCTGCCAGTCTGCCGGTGACCGTGACTTCCTTCCCCTTTGTGGCATGTGGAACTCAAGGAGTTGAGGGATTTTATGTGGAGTGGTTTTCCTGTTTTCATACTCCTATCCTAAGAGTAGGAGTGGAAAGTTCAAATAGATTATTTACCAGAGTTAGACAAACAAATATTTGAGTAGTCATTTGAAATATGAGAAAATCATGGTTAGTTTACCACATAAAGATTAAGATCATAAAAACTAGTAAAAATTTGGTTAGTATCCTCGCAAAGTTTGCGATTTAGGGAAAGGAGTCAAAAAAATCAGGACAGAAAATGAAATATGTCTAACTAATGGATTGAAAAAGATATTGCAGTAGGATTCCGGTGGTTTTATCTCATTCATTGGCTTGCTTTTGCAGGTGTGCGAAAATCATCCACAAGGGGTTGTTTTGGTCAAATTTAAGGATAGGAGGGATGCACATAGGTGCACTGAGGCGATGAATGGACGCTGGTAAGTGATTGCATCTGAAACTTTTGTTATCTCATGCAGACTGTATTGTAGTTCTTTACCCGAGTCTTATTATTCCTTCTATTCTATTTATATGACACACTTCCCTTTTTAGTTTATTCCCAACCTTTCTATATTTTGGAACTCTTTAATTTTAAGTTTTTTGCGCTTAGTGTGATATATGCTCTTGCAGCCACAAAAATGTTTTAACACCACAAGTTCCAATTGCACTTTTGGTGTGTAGAGAGTCTTTCTTTCTTAAACTCTCCGCCAAATACACAACCATATAAAATGTAAGATGGAGTATAAACAAGCATGTAATATTGCTTATCTCGTGAAGTTGCTTTTCTGTATAGACAGCAGACTAATCAGCATCTCTGAGAGCTTGAACTTTGTTCCATTATTGTCCTTGTTTTTGTTTCCCTCATCTGATTTGTATTCGTTTATTGTAACAGGTTTGCTGGTCGGCAAATCCATGCTAGTGAGGATGATGGATCTGTTAACCATGCTTTAGTCCGAGATATAGATGAAGAAACTGATAGATTAGAGAAGTTTGGAGCTGAACTCGAAGCTGATTCATAGATGTGCTTCTCCATGTGGAAATAGTAGCAACACTTATTTTTGCTTGCTGTACAATCCATGCCTCTATGCACTCTTTGAATAGGAATTCGTTCTGAAGGATCCTGGCTATTGTATTTTGGCGGGTCTCTGAGATCTTGCAAAAAGATTTTCATGGATGTGATAGGAGTTGAGGTCGCCGCATGCCAACTATATTTGTAATTGCAAGTAATGGGTTATCTCCTAGTTTTCTCTGGAGTACATGTGACATGATCAATTGAAATGAGAGTAGAAATTTCTCTAGTGCTTGACTTTTGTTTTCAGAATGTGACTTGCTCTGTAATTATTGTAGCTGCAAAAATTTGTTCGCCGATCGCTCTTCTCTGTTTTTGTCGCTGAAACTCCTTGTAATTGTCGATTCTCTTTGTTCTCTCCCATTCCTCTCACCAGTATCAAAACTGGATTTGTCTGGTATACTTTTGCAAAGAAATGTACTACTGTTATGTTTAAATTGTGGAATTCTGGCAGGGTACTTGAAGTTACATGCTTATTTAGGGCTCGTTTGGTACGCGAGATAAGGTGTCATAAGGTAAGGATTATACCATCAACCAAACATGATATAAATTTAATCCCAGACATATCCCACCTTATCCCATCCAACTTGGGATTATTTTATCTCACCTCCAAGGTGGGATAAATTAGTCCAAGGATTATAATCTCTGGATAATTTAGTTCGCGTACCAAACAACTTCCACAGCACAACCTGTGTATGGGCAGGAGGATCTTGTGGATCACTTTCTTGGTTTGGCTATATGTATCCGGCATTCGAAATTAGTTTGCTTGACTAATTCGAATTTGTGCCGTGTAAATTCATTTTTAGTGAAAATGTTACCTACAAAGAGTTTATTCATTCTCGTGGTTCGAACTTGACGTTTCTACTTTAAGGTAAAGTGTTTTTAGCCAAGTGATAACATAATTTTCATACTGACTACTGAAAATTGGAAAGTACCCTCTCTTTTTTCATCTTATATTGTATTTTATCCTTTTTAATCAAACTCCAAAAGTAATGAATATAGGATATTTTGACTTTGAAAATNAGTTCACTTACAAAAACTTCATCTACAAAAAATAATCCTTTCTTGAACGTCATCTCTATAATCGAAAAAGGAAAATGGGCTTCACTAGTTATGCAGAAATATCTGAATCCCTTTATCGTACTCGCAAATTCTTCCTTATATGCAACTACATTCTTCTTGGAGCAGCTTCCAGCTGCATCTTCTTGACCCTTTCTCTTCGTCTTATCCCTTCGCTCTGCGGATTTTTTCTCATTCTTCTCCACATTTTCACAATTGGGGGCGCAGTCTTTGGCTGCGCAGCCGTTTCCACTTCCTCGGGAACTGGAAAATGGTATGGACCCCACATGGTTTCAACTGTTTTAACTGCCATTTTACAGGGGTCTGTTTTTGTGCTGATTTTTACAAGAACGGGTGATTTTCTTGGAAAGTTGAAGTCTTATGTTAGGGAAGAAGATGGTGAGATGATTTTGAGATTGGGTGGTGGATTGTGTGCTTTGATATTTTGCTTTGAGTGGGTTGTGCTTACACTTGCATTTTTCTTGAAATATTATTCTTATGTGGAAGGTGATGGTAATGTTGTTGGTGGATCAATTGCTATGAAAAGAAGTGCTAAGGTTCAAGATGAAGAAGATATCAAGAATTGGCCATGGCCTTTTCAAGTCTAAGTAGTAATATAAATTGGTCTTTTCTT